TCGGGATATTTTTCGGGATATTTTTCGGGAATTTTTCTCCCCAATTTTTTCGGAAGCTCTCCAGAAATTTTTGGAATAATTTGGAATAATATTGCAGGCATTTTTTTTTTTATTCGGGACGTTGACAGAGTGGGGAATGTTGTTGGTATTTTTTTCTGTTTCTCGAGGGAAAAAACCTCAATAGACGTCACGTTATAGTATAGAATACTATAAACCGTTTCGTACACGACGAAGGACACTTGAAAACTATCACAGTTAAATCATCGATCGATAATTCGATTATTTCAAGTAGCTTCGAGGTACATACCGATTAACCATCTCCCTACGTCGCTCCTAATCCACTCTGTCAATAACTCGACAATCAATTCTCAAGTAAACATGTGTTGACATATAAAACATTGTTGCAGCTTTTCCTATAAATAGTAACAGTCTGTCATTATATGAGTACCGATAAACGTGTGAAATTCAAGTAACGCGAGAATGAGGTATAGAGAGCAGAATAATCAGAGGAAAAGTGAAATAGAAATGAAAAAGTTAGTGTGCGGAGAAAATTCACATCTGCTCACCTCACACCCCGTTAAAACTGGAATATAGAACAAATAACGTATTTATTTTTCCTCATTCAATTGAAATAAAAATACACAAAGAATATTTGTTATCAAAGCGGTGAAAATAAATCTAAAAAATATTGATGAAAAATGGATAATTCCCGGATAATACGCCTACAAGATTTTTCGAGTAGCTCGAGTAGTTTAGGTCTGAAATTCACAGGGCAGAGAGGATCGAAAATCTTAAAAGCTCGCAAAGCGCATTGAATTGGGATTATGAATAAGGGATACAAAAACCCCAGGGGCGTCGATGGATGAGAAGAGCAGGGGGTGAAGTTGGAAAAGCAAAGGCGAAGAGTGGAAAAGAAACGGTTTGAAAAGAGGGGGATGGGGTTGATATGGCAAAGGGCATGGGGGGGTGGATTTTGATACGCCTGGGGAATAAACATGCTTGTTGCTCCAGCTATGATACGGCCAGCATATGCGATGCATTGTCGTCGTGATGGTTGTGAAGGGATGAGGGATGCCATGAGGGGGTACATCTCGGGGACCCATAACATCGGCTAGTCTGTGTAGGTCTGTGTATACTCCATTTGTCCCTAAACATCTCCCTTGTTTCCTATCTGACGGATCTCATCGTGTTTGCACTATCGTCCACTGTGCATTACAATGCAGATGGCCAACTGATCGATCTTAATTGAGACTCTTGGACAAATTATGCTAATTTAATTCGGGATTTGGGGTGGCCGCGTGCAGATCTCAAGGTGATTATTTACACGGAATTTGGATTAGGGCGTTTGAGGCTTTTTAATGGTGACGAGATTTTAAGTTTGTGCTTTTTTGAGATTTTTTTGGAGTTATCGATGATTCAATGATTATTCGTAGCTGCAAGTGAGTCATAATAATGATTAATAATGATTAATCAATAATTCACGATTTTACATGCAATATTAAAAATTTCCATGTCGCGAGGGAAAATTCAATTTCCAATGATCGATTTCGAAATGTTTTGAAATTCTCGAAATATATTGAGACATAATTAAATCTCAAACGTTTTAAATGCATTTTAAATAAAAGTCACTGGGTTTTAGCAAGTGGAATAATTCGACACTGACCCGACATCTCGACGTCTGCCGTCGACCTAACATCCCAACAGGTGCCACATCGATAATTCAGACACATACCAACAACCAAA